TAGCACTAGCATCGGTACAGCCGGTACCATCGGTACCACCTACAGTTCGGGCATTTTTCTCCTCACCACGTTTGCTATGTATTTCAATGGTAAGGAAAAATGTGTATCGTTCGCTGTTACGCATTGATGCACTGCGCGCGGCTACCACCGTGCTATGGATACCTCGATTTGTTCAAACCCCCCGCGGTAACTGATTGTCTGCAACGGACCACAGCTCTTTGGGTGCTCACTGTTGCCTTCTGCGTCCAGCTGGTGGTAATCGCACCCAGTCGGACCACGCGAGCGCTGTTCACCGTACATGGCATCCGCTACGGCGAGAAGATTGGCTTGGACGTGCTGGATGCGCCTGCGCTCACCGAGGATATCATCAACTTCAACATGGCCAACATCGAAATCACGCACCCGACGCAGTACGATGGGCTGCTGGTCAACCTGGGCTTCGTGACCAACCTGGGTACGACCAACGGCAAAGGAGAGGGCGGCCAGATAAGGAGGGTGACATTGGAAAAGCGCTTAGCGGGGATAAAGTCGGTGGAGGAATGTGCAGCGAGATGGATACGGGTTTAGATGTATAAGACAAGTGTAGACAAGCCAAAGCCGACAAAATATAATGAAATGCAAGAGGGAAAGGCGGACAGAGATACTAAGGGCAGACTAGAGGTAAATTAGGACAGCGGTGTTACGTCCGAATGTTGTAATCTGCCATAGCGGAGGGATACAATTCAGAATAACAACCCTCATTGTTGAGAGCTTGTTATTCTGAATAACTAGCTCTCATAATCACACACACCGGTTCTCAAGCAACACATAGCATTTACGACATACAACAGCCCTCTTCGGCGCCACCAATCGGAGGCCGAAGTTGACCTCGCCCCGCTACAGTCGTACTGCCGTTTGACAGGGCACACCTGTGACCACAGATCTCAGCGCCGAGGTGTACCGCGGCAAAGGCAGCGAGGACGAGTGGGGTGTGGACGTCGAAGTCCAGCTGCGTGTCACGGACCACCCCCAGCTGCATACCCTGACTCCAAGCACCTACCCGGTCTACATCGGGCTGCGGGTGAGAGGGGTTGGCACGGGCCGAGGACCCGGTGGCAGAAACCCCGCTATACGCTGAGCCGCGGATTGCAGGCGTCAGATCGGGTGCGATGAGAGGGCAGACGGGACTGCCGCTCCACTGACGGGCAGCTGAGGGGAAGGATCGCAGCTCCAACTTTGGTTGTTTTGGCGTGAGTCCTGCCGTACCACAGACAGATTCAGTTCAGTTCGCGTCCAAGAAATCGTGGATCCGCTTCTCACGGTCGACCGTGAGTTGGCCAAGTGAGACTTCGCAGCAGGCTGTGATTTAAAACATGCCCACACAATTTCCAAAAATAACGGAATTGTGTATGCATGATAATCCTGCCGTATGACTATGACGCATGCCTTTGCCTGATGTTGTCAGCGTCGCCTAACGCCCGAAAATTACATTGATTTTGTTCCACCAGCGAAGCTGCATCTTGTAGTAACCCACACAAAAGCCGTTGATGTCTAACAGGAGTGCCCCACTCTCAGCTTGGAGACACGGTGATGATGGAGAGTCAGGACGTCATTGCCACCAGCACTCGCACGGGAAAGGTCAACTTGCAAATCGAGCTCACCCTCTCGGAGCCTCACAAGACGCAGTACGACAAGGATCTGTAAGTCAGCCTGTTATCAATATTAGTTATTAACATTATAACATAGTAAGGACATCGTCAGCTCGGCAACATATATCATCACGACAAAATTGTCACAAATGCTCCCGGTCTGATGAGGAGCTCCTGCTGTCTGGGATGGGGACTCGAAAGCCTGGGAGGCTGCCATCCAGTGGTGATCCTCGCTTCTGGCCGCAGCGACGAGAGGGTGGGCTTCTTCCCTGATACTGCGGCACAGCACCACGTCCAGCCAGGAGAGTGAGGACACCCGCGCCGTTGTCATCTTCCCGCCCTACATGACCTACGAGCGCGACTCGGCCAAGCACAACGCATCGTCGCTCACCGTGCTCTTCAAGGGCTCCAGCGTCGCGCTAGTGGTGCGTGTTTCCGCTGCTTCCCGTTGACGTACCGTTGGTAACACCCTCGCTTGTGACGTAAGTTCAGATTTCGATGTCCAAACTCGTTACCTAATGGGAACAGGTTAAGATGCGTTCCCTCCCTTAGCTCTTGGAGCCATCGGATGGACGTTTACTTATTTCCACCCAACAAGGAAGCAGCGTCTTTTTCCATCTCCTGATTTACACAATCGATGATCATGATCAAAGTATTGTGAGATACTAGAACCCTTCGGTTTGCTGATGGTCTCAGTGAGCAGGACTGCCCTTTTTCCGTTTCATGAACCTTTCTCTCTAGGTTAAGTCCACGGTGCCTTTTGTTCGAGATCGGCTTCAGAAAATTGTCATTGTCCACTTTCCCGTGAAATGTTGACAGGCCTACGTATTCTCGAGATCTTAAGTGATTTAAAGCAGAGGTTTTTTCTTAGGTCACACAGTCAGCTTCACGTCTTGATCTGTTCTGATTGTGCAGGCCTGACTTCTTGATCTGTTCTGGTTGCGCAGACTTGACTTCAATCCTTGACGACATCTGAAAGCGGGGCGGATACTTGGCGTGCGGATCCGGACGGCCGGATCCGTGCCTCGCACTCGAAAGGGGGCGGTAGTCCTTTGCGTGCTGCTTCCCCCCTTGTGACTCGGCAATGTTACTCTGTCCATGTTCAAGGAGTTGGGAGGTGAACTAGTGGCAATACTGTAACGTTCTAGAATGCGTCGCCTGATGAAACCGGTAGTATTTTGATGTCTTGGATGCATCACAATGCTAGTTTTGGGCAACCGCGCTAGTCGTTGCTCATATCTTCACAACGATACAAGGAGCCGTTTTAGATGCATGAGCTTGTCAAAACCTGCCAATAAGTTGACGTTCAGGCTAACTTGGCATGGAGTATTGCTGAAATGTGGTAAAGACATGGAGCGCGTCCGGTCGAGGGAAAATCCTTTCAACGAGTAATTATCTCTCCGATAATCATCCTCGGAGATTCTCCATTTACAACCCGGCCGGCCAAAAAATATCTCCAGGTTAGTCTGCCATGCGCCATCCACAGCCAGCTGTGGCTATAGCCATGCATAGAGAAAACAGATTAGCCGCCTTGACCATGCTCTCAAAGTTCCTCCGGGATTCTCCGTCGCTACGGAAAAAAAATATCTGGAATGATTTTCCGTGTCAGCAGTGCCGAATACCATTCCGGAAAAATTTATAAACGTTCCGGATAGTTTTTGCGAGATTATATGACGGCCGAACGCGCCCTACATGATATGGGGAAATATTGGTAAGTCCTGTACGATGGATATTGCACACATGAAAGCAGGTGTTGTTACTGTTTGCCTGAACGTCACATGTAATGGACAGAACCTCGACAAAGAGGTCGTCAGTCTTGACCCATCGATGGTAATTGTCTTGATTTTCCCCACCCAAAGTGTAGAAAAAATGTCTAAAATTCCGCTATAGAAAATGTTGAAACATCGTGTCTTTAGTGTCCCTGTTGTTGGTAAAAGACCTAAAAAGTACCTCTGTAACCCCATCTCCGACAAATATAAGACAGGCTTTACCTGTCCGTACATAAAGCAGAACACAGCTTGTACACTGCACCACTGGAGTACACCGTGCAGAGTTGGAGAGTGCATGGAGCAAGACTCTGGGCACTTTTGTTGGTGCGCTGACCTCGTGCAGGACACCACGCGTGTCAGGCCGACCTGCGCACGAGCTGGCACTGAGACAGTCCTTCTTAGGTCGGCGAGATGTGGTTCACCGACATCTACTCCATCAACTTCACGGCGCTGATCGACCCGGAGTTTGTGCGTGGCCGGGGCACTGGCTTCGCAAACGCCACGACCATCGCACGCGCCATCTGCCGACCGACACTGCCCTCGGCGGCGTTCAGCCGCTGCGGCTCCATGACCTACGTGATGTACGAGGTCAACAACCCAGGTCTGTCGGAGGGAGGGACCTGATACGTGGCTAGTATTATTGCGGAGGCTTAGTCGAGGGCTTGTAGATGATGTTGTCGATGTATCGTGGGACCACAAGCAGCTGGAATCAGGGCCACTATCACGCGAGATCAGCCGTTGATTGCGTCTCTGGCGCAACAACAAAATGGAGACATTTGTCTCCATTTGGCGCCCGCAAAGTTACGTTCAAACTTTGAACGAAATCGTTGCCATCAAACGATCAAGTCAACCAAGGGGGCAAACGCTAGAAAATGCAGTGGACGTGACTGTCCCAGAGATTCCGCAACCGCATTTAATATTTGATAGACGACAAACCTTATGCTTTATCATGTACCACTCATCTACGACTTCGCACTAGTTACATACCAGTCGGTCATTTATTCGTTTGCGCATTCGGCCCACGACACCAAATCATAAAGTACTGCGAAAGTAAAATGACGAGTAGGTAGATGTGATGACACAAAAGTGGTCCCGAAGTCAGAATTTATATCGATTTTGACATTCTTGGCGATCAACCACAGGTTTTGATTCTGCTACTCTATTCTATTTACCCTATATTTCCTATTGGGTAGCAAACCAAATCGCTATCTTTACAATTTTTGTGTAAAAAGGGCTATCGTGTGGTGCATGTGTGCTGGGGGTATCAACGCCATTGATGTTGCAAGGGATGCTCTAAGCTAACTTGAAACGCTCAAGATTTTTGTGCGATTAGAACTGTCACCTCATTTAACAATGTTTTTATTAATTCCGCGCACAAGACCATGAGCTGTCCTGCGGCTGGATTACGCCAGTGGTGTTCACCGTTCCCTCCGACTCTTAGGCTCATACCGTGGGCTTGGTTATAAGATTGTGGGAATTGCGTGTTCTGGCTGACCCATCGTCTGCCTTTGTGCGTTTTCAGAGTGTTCAGATCCGTTGCTTGCTTCGCTAACTGAATGCCACTTCAGTGCATCAGCCTCCATAGAAAGGGGGGCAGACTCCTATGGACCTGCTGCCATCAAAGCTGACGGTGGGTGGTGTGTATGTGAAGCAACAGGCCTGGGACAGGCGGTATCCCGAGGGAGGACTGCTCTTTCACCATCCCACTTCATGTTTCACCTCTGCCGCTCTCGCTCTGCCCCGTATCCCACATGCCATCATCCTTGTCACCATCACCAACATGATAATCATCATGACAATCCCCAGCACTTTCTTCATCATCACCAGCATCATGCATTTGGCGAGATGAGTGGGAGACATCCACGTAGCGCATCACAGCACGTGTTCGGAGCTGTCACTGCACGTGTGATGGTCGTGTCCGGGCAGGATGCCAGCCTGTCCACTGAGCGCGTGCCGTGTGTGTGGCCGCCAGGGATGGCGTCCGCCGGTGCGGGACGACCCGGCCTGGACCCGACAGTACCTGGACGTCAGGTTCGGCATACCGACCCGCATCTCCGGCTGGAAGGTGACCAACCTCGGCTCGCGCGCCGTCACCAGTATCGCCCTGGAAGCCAGCAGCCGACGGCCTCCTCTTCCAGCGGAAGTTCGAGGTCAGTAGGAGGCTGGCTGACTGAAGCCCGTCTCATCATGTGAGCAGCGCGAGGGCTCAACGCGCCGTGGCGAGTGCAGCGCCACATGAACAGGATTAATCGTGTTCAACGCCACGTGAGCAGGGTCAATCGTGTTCAGCGCCACGTGAGCAGGATCAATCATGTTTAGTGCCACGTAAGCAGGATTAATCGTGTTCAGCGCCACGTGAGCAGGATCAGTCGTGTTCAGGGCCACGTGAGCAGGGTTAGTCGTGTTCAACGCCACGTAAGCAGGATTGATCGTGTTCAGCGCCACTTGAACATGATTAATCATGTTCAGCGCCACGTGAGCAGAATTAATCGTATTCAGCGCCACGTGAGTGGAATTAATGGTGCTGTTCACGCTCTCAATCATGATCTGGCTCCCACCAAAACCATGGGCACCTCCGCACGATGTTAATTGTTCCATGAATCCCGACGCTGAAGTGAAGCGGACACAGTGTGTGGAAGCGCACCGTCAACCACATGCATCCGGGCCTGTGCCCTGGTTTTCCCCAACGGCTGCCGCTCTGCCTGTCCTCAGTGGCCACTGGCTTGGTTGTGCCCTGCTGCCAGTGTGTCCCTGAGTCGACTCCGTCTGATCGCTAGGGTCCAGTACCAGCTGACATGACCAAGGAAGATCTGGGAAGCCACAGCTTCAACGCCCGCTCCGTCCGCATTGTCATCCTGACAGCCGACCCAGGCTCTTCTTACATCCAGATCACGTGAGATGACGTTAGGTTTTTGGACCAGACAAGGAGCTCCCATTCCTCCATTTCAGGCCATCTAGGACAGCATAACTACGTGTGCCAAGCGTGCTTGTGTCGCAATTCATTTTTGTACCAACCTTTCTATGATATTAAACGGTGCATTTGTTTATTTGCTTATTTCACTCGTCGTCAATACAGCAGCACTCCACTAACAGGCGAAATCGTTTAACTAAAATCCAATAAATAAACGGCACACATCAGCATGGACATTTTCCGAGGACAATCTCTCAAAGCTGAGTGAAGATGCTACAGAGTTGTAACATATTTGATCACTTGAGCTCTAAAATTGTCAAAACTGTCGTGGATATCATCCGCGCTAGTGTTGCTCGCTAAGAAAGTGTTACCAACGCTTGGCAATCTGCAAAACAGACCGCTCTGCACTGCCTGCGCGAGGCACAACGAGCAGAGTGCGGGTGCGGGTGGATCGAGGCGGCACAGGCAAGGGAAAACAGCTTAGCGAGATTTGATAGTCCACTTTACCTTGGAAGATGTTTCTCAGGAAGAGTAAATCGTACTGCACCCTTCGTGCTGCTAGGGATGGGATTTTGAACTGAAGCGGAAGGCTGCCATAAGGAAGGGAAGTGTTTGCCCGAAGAATGTGCAAGTAGCCAAATAAGGAAGTTGTGCTGCACTCGATCGACCTGCACTGTATGGGAATTGGCCGCCCCTGCCCAGACCACACGGCAAAATTTGCTAAATACGGAGCCATCACAGCACTTCGATTGAATTTTGACCAGCTCGTGCCGACTGAAAGGACCGAAAAATGATACCAAGTGCTCGACTGCCCCCACTGACTACGTCAGAGACACGTACAGCAAAGGTTAATTTGGTATCCAGCATTTGTGGCCGCTGGAAGACTTCTACGAGCGTAGTGATGTGGTAAAGAGGTTGTGGTTGGGGTGAGAACCGACTTCTGTCTGGTCGCGCCGGTATACGCCCACCACGACCGACCGTGGCCGTGGTGGGCGTATACAACGTCTGTCTTGTCCGTGGCTGGAGTGAGGCCGAATTGTGTTCGGTCTCGGCGGACCGGCAGTGGCCGTGGTGAGCGTGTGCCGTGTCTGTCTGGTCCATGACCGGAGCGTGGCTGACGCCTATCTGACCGGTCTCGCTCGACAGCGCCGAGCTGTACGGCTGCCACACGGCCGAGCCCGTCGCCGACACGTGTCCGGCCGTGGCCGACAACACCATCTACACGACCGAGCCGCGCAAGTGGCGCCACTTCGCCGTCGACACCACCAACGACATTGTCTACTACTGCGACTATGACCTGAAGAATGATATGGTCATCTGCTTTGCCTCGAGGGACGGTGATATCTGGATAAGTAGGTGCCGTCAGGAACCCGAAACCTGCTTTGTTAGCATGGTGTCAAGAGGCTTAGTACATTCATTGTGACCACACAAATCTTGTTATCAAAACCGAGCTGGATAATACGCTGTGGTAACAGTATCGACAATGCTTGCACTGTTTTAGTGCGCGTAGGGCAGCTGGGCGTAAGACATCTGACACTGTACTTTTCACAGCACGAAGTGTAGTAAAAAGGAACATGGCCATTTCTTTGCAACAAATGGGAAGCAGGACCATAAAACTCTAAACATTCCCATCGAAAAAATGTCCCGACATGTGGTGACAACTTCCTCTGTTTTCCAACGACTGCAATAGCAGCACTTAGGCTGCACATATGAATGAGCGCATCCAAAGCGGAGTGACAATATCGGGGACATCATACCCAAGACGGTCTTGGCTCTCACAATGGGCTGGTACCACCCGTGCCCAGCCTCATGTCCAGATATATCGCATAAACCACACGAACCTTAACCAAATATTTCATCGCATTAAAACTTGACAGCAGTTGTTTCGAACTCCGTCTGTTTTTTTTGCACTCCGTCTGTTTTTGTTTCGTACGCCTGTTTCGCACCTTCGGGCAGTCCACCTGACCGGGGCACCCCTATCTGCAGCCCAGCCGAAATACATCGGCCGTCCACCTGACCGGGGCACTCCTATCTGCAGCCCAGCCGAAATACATCGGCCGTCCACCTGACCGGGGCACCCCCGTCTGCAGCCCAGCCGAAATACATCGGCCGTCCACCTGACCGGGGCACCCCTGTCTGCAGCCCAGCCGAAATACATCGGCCGTCCACCTGACCGGGGCACCCCCGTCTGCAGCCCAGCCGAAATACACCGGCCGTCCGCCTCACCGGGTACCCCTGTCCGCAGCCCAGCCGAAATACATCGGCGAGCTGCGCGGCCACGCTGCCGGCAAGATGTACGCCTACGACAGCAAGTTCGAGTCCACCCTGTACTCGGCGGACGGCGAGCACTGGCAGGTGGCCGGGGCTGCGAACGTGCCGGCCGTCCTGGACCCCGTCATGGTGGTCAAGGGCAGCACGGCCGCCGACACGGTACCCATCGACCAGGGCGGCTGGGAAGGTACGGAGTCGGCCGCGGTGGGGCGACACTGTCGCATCGCAACCTCAGTGATGCTCTCTAGATATTAGACTTAATTATCTCGTTTTCTTAGTGGTCCAGTTGTTTTGTTGGCTAGAACTAAGACCGCCGTAAGTTTGTAAGCCTATTCAGTAGGATGATTGGCATGCTTCACTAAAACACTTGGCTCAGATAAAACCTTTGAGTTGAGACGATCCATGTATTGCTACCCAACAAGAGTCCAGGAGCCCACTGGCGAAGAAGTCTCCAGGTGGAGCCGGCATGCAGAGCATGCTGTGATCTTCATGCCAGGCCTGTGATTGTGATCTTCGCGCCTGTGACCCCACTCTCTAGTCAATGCGATGTTATACAAAAGCTGACTTAAGCTTCGCCCTCATCCCACATTTTTCATAAAGCGGACTGATAGGGGGGGGAGGAGCGATACAGACCGTCGTCCCCCTGCCTTTCACAAGCTAAAAAAATATAGACCTTTGTACGAGAAATAAAATTGTTCAGTACGAGATCTTACGATTGGTAATAGCTTGTATGTTCCTAGTTGAATGATTGGCCCCAATAGGTCGAGTTATATAATTTTCTCCTCGACGTCTATTTCCGCTTTACCTGCAAATTTTCACGGACCCATTCCACGAAGCAGCATAAAAACGAAACAGACGTGCTACTTGTTTATTTCTCAACATATTGAGAGAAGTCACGTGTGCTTTGGGCATATATTTATGATGTAAAGCTCGGTTAATGCCCGCGTCAGCTACGGATCCCAGTGCAGTGTTCATGAAAGCATAACTTCTCAGAACTAGGAATCCGAGAACTTTTGGTGCCAAAATACGCGCAATGAATGCACCAAAGATCGATGAAGATTTTGGCACGATTACACCACCTGCTGGTTAGATACCCTAGGAAAAGCCTGAGAGTCGCACATAACCCCCCCACCCCGCCCCTAACTGGGTGAGGGATAAGCTGCCATCCATGTCATGAGTCCACCTCTGGCTGTCTGGAGCGGTCGTGACTCATAATCACCTCAGAGTCCACACGCCTGCGTGCGTTGTGTCTGCCTAGCAAGACAAGTTGTGCCGCTCACAGCCAGTGGCGCGGCCCCGTCACAGCGGGAGTCGATGTTCGGGGCGCGCGCACGACGGCTTATGAAACCATCCCCGTGCCACAGGTGATTACTACGGTCTGAAGAAGGTCGGCACCTCCGCCTACACCATCAAGTGGACCAAGTGCTGCGCCAGCTAGCCACCGCGGTCGTCCGTCAACACTGGTGTGGAGAAGATGGAGCCTGCGTCGGGCCGGCGCGGTGCCCGGCCACCAGACGGCGCTGCGCATTTCGCCAGTCGGAAGGCTGCAAAATTGCTCGCAGATCGCCGCAAGATGCTTACCCGCGTGCAGCATTCTGGTTCAGCCATAAAATTAATGTAACATGCTGATGGTTTAGAGATAGGATGCTTCGATTTGTTACGATTTTCAAGGCTTAAGTTGCCTTTAGCGCATGTCTGCAAGTTTCATGGGCACCGTGCTGCGTAAGGGCAGATGTCGTGTCCTCAGGGCGCTGTCAAACTAAATGCACGTCTGCAGGAGACACCCGCTGCGCATGCCTGCAAATGTAAAAAAACGGTCACACGATGAAGATGAAGACGACTTAGGAAGACATGGAGATTTGACATTCATTTTACTCCTATATATGGCCATGGACATATTGCTTATGTAACCAGGCGTGCACTCAATATTTTGTTATGGGGAGTGCCAGTGTTGTAACGATAATCTTTGTTTGACTGGGTATCTGTTAGCTTTTGCATGACCAATATGACTATTACATGATCTAAGTCATGATCAACATGGAGAGGTAACAGCATTGGTGACATAGTTAATGATGGTTAAACCAACTTAAAATGCAACACTATAAAAAAACATAAGCAGTTGGGATGGGCTGAAATGACAAAAAGTGTTCTAGAGGCGTAAATTCGTTGGTAGCACTAAAATGAGCATAGTGTAGTGCTCTAAATTGGTGCGAAAATGTTTAAAGTATGCATATTTAGGTTTTCGTTATTCATACATCTATGTTGTTGAGCATGCCAGCCTTTTTGGGCACATCTTCCGTGAGCTGATCATATTTTCTTTACAGCTACAAGTTATGTACCTACATTCCCACCGATAATCCAACAAGCTTGAACAAGCTTTCATAACAAAATAGGATATGAGGATACTCCTTGGTTAGCCCAGGCCCTCTCCCCACGGAAGGCAAGCCGAACACTCGTGAACACTAAGAAATACACATATAATATGGGAGGGAATATTCATCGGCAAATTCCACGTTCTAAATCGCGGGTATATCCAATCTCCTTCTACCATCAAAGGTGAACTCAACATGCCTACGACAGTCGCAGACATTGAATAAGTGACGCATGTCACAACTTTCCACCGAAGACAACTATTACCACACACGGCTACAACAGTCGCCGACATTGAATAAATGACGCATGTCACAACTTTCCACCGAAGAAATCTGTTACCATACACGGCTACGACAGCCGCCGACAGTGAATAAGTGGCGCACGTCGCAGCTTCCACCGAAAACAAGCATTACCATACTTTTAACAGCTCGACCCATATTGAGCCGAAGACTGATAAGCTTCACCTCCAGCACCCACCGACGCAACACCTCCGTGTCGGCATCTTCAGTCATCGCAAACACGTGAGATGTACTTCAACCCCGAGCGCTCCAAGCTACGCACCAGACGCCGGTCGGTCGGCTCCAGGAACCGCGAGTTTGATTGTCTGGTCAGGCGCTAGTTCGTGTGACGTAATGTTGTCAGCGGCAACGAAGCGGCATGCCCCTGGTCATTCGCGGCACGACTGCACGCCCCTGCCTACACGCTTCGAGGCTACTTAAAGGCATCATCATTTTTATTCTCCTGTTGAAAATACCTCGTCAAACGGATTTTTCACCATATGCATTTTCTTGGCGCTTCCGCTACCAAGCCGCCATCTCAGCTCAAATTCCATCGTAAAAGTGAACACTTCTCTCTAATATTTTTGGAAAACACCCAGCGCGTCTCACAAGAAGCGAGCAGGATGCGCTTGGCCGGTCTTCATAAGGCATGCACTAGGTATTTCATAAGGTACGGTAGGCTGCGTGAGGTCAGTTGAGGTCTGAGCACTAAGTTTTACTTAAGCTTGCCAAATAATTATCGATTCTGCAAGTTTCAGTCGAATTATGTCATTTTAGGTTAAGTTGTATCAAATTAATCAAATCTTTACAAGCAAAATAAATGACTTTTTGTGGTCGGGCTCGACACATTTCAATCCTTAAGGGAAGTAGTTCTAATTTGACGATGTTGGTTCCAGCATCAAATAGGATGAAATAAGCTGACATAAATATCGGCACACTTTTCGGTAGGAGAGACTTTTGAGCCTAGTCAGCACAATTTCTCTGTTCCCTAAACATGCTCCTCCAGACGTCCATTGTTTCATTGACGGACGCAGTTTTCTAGCACAACACGCGACACAATTGGACGTCTTTGGGCCTCTAGACGACCGAGAACGGTCGCAAGGGAAAGGGAAGGGTTCATGGGCTGACAATGCTAATTGTTCGCTAATAGAGAGGATGGTGATTTGGGGAACATTTTGAGGTCCATGCACTTTCCAGCGGCGTTACGCTGTTGCCGGGGCCCCGTGTATCCACTTGCCGGGTCAATGTGATCGCCAAGGAGCCTTCTTCGCTGCCATTGATCTCTGCATTTTCTCGTATGGCCCTATGAACACGGATTGCCGCCTATTATGAACTACGTCACATAATTTCGACAGTTGGTTGTGTCTTACGGAATAGCGTCACGAATATTATACATAGGCGACCGTTCAATGCCGGCGAGTGGGGGAACGGGGGAGGGAGGGTGGACAAAACGCAGCTGACATGGTCTCTGTAGAGCACATAGGGCATGACCAAGAGACCTCGTAGCTTCACATCCATATGTGCTGATTCTCTAAGCACTACACTGGATCTACTAGAAACACTTGGGAGGGTTTCTGTGGCCCTCGTCAAGCGGGATTATGTTATTTGCGGTGATTTGCTCCCGCACGCACCAGTGCGCCCGGTCCCAGGTGCATCATCGGAGCTCGACTATCAAGCAACGATCAGGCAACGGGATAAGGTGCCTGCATAGCAAACAAACACAATTTCGGGGCAAGTCATGGTATATTGACAGGAAGCACAAAACGGAAAACGCGAACTCAAAATGAACGAAATTGAAGGCATTACTACTCCTCTTAGCCGATGCAGAGAAGACCTGTTTTCTTTGAGAAACAGCTCTTACAGACCACGCGCGGCGCTGTAGCCTTCGCAGCGGACGAGTTGGGCATCATGACCATTACGAACCTGCGAGCCATCAGGTCCCCGCAGACACCACAAAGGAACGGGCCCGGGCCTGGGTCGCCGCGCGGCTCGGTGCGGCTCGCACGCTGGTACTCGTCACGTGACGTGGGCCCGTCGAGATCAGACTCAGCTGGCCCGGCCCCGCTCGCTGGCGAGCCAGCCCCAGGTGCACGCTCTTCACGATCCATGTACTTGTCCCCACCGTGTGGACTTTGCGGGGTCAGGCTGCGCTGGGGGGTGCAACCGTGCCCCGTGCAACCGTACCCCGCGGAGCAACTGTGCCGTTTCATCGGTGATAGGTCTGGACCAGCAGAGCCCTGTCGGTCTGGTTGTTGGTCGTCGTGCGGTGATCGTCGCTTGTCTGCCTCTTCCCTGTGAATGCGCCGGCAGTGGCGCTGAAGATAATCACGGGACTTAAATCTGATGGAGCAAACGTAGCAGCGAAATGGCTTTTCGTTTGTGTGGGTCACCAAATGTCTTCGGATGTCTTTCTTTCTCCTAAACGGTCTACCGCATATTTCACAGACGTGCGGCTCCTCCGCCGTTGCCGTATTGCGCATATTAGTGCCAATTATGCCAATGATCGGCGCATCACCCCCTTTAACCGCGGCGGATTTTTCGTGATCGTCACCACAGGCCAACAAACGCCCGGGCGAGCCTTTGAACGGATCACCAACACCAGAAGAAACCGCTTCGACGCAGGAAATGTAGCGGGCAAACTGTAACGCCGATTGCACATTGTCGGAGTCATCTGGAGATACATTCTGAGAAGCCTCCAAGGGATCCTTTTCGGGCACCGCAGCGCCGAACACACCGAAATTACAATTGCGGTAGAAATCCTCCGCCGAATCCGAGACGCTCCAGCTTGCATTCACGGTGCTTGGCCCGTCTTCCGCTGATTGCACCAGCACCAATGTCCCGAAGCTCAGAGGTATCTCTCTTACCAGAGACATCGCCCTCGTCAGTAGTTGAAATATAAACCGAAGGACTGGCAACGCAACCGCTGGTACCACGTGGGTGTTAACGATGACACGGCTTGTCAGGAAAGATTGAAGATCGCACAACTGACAGATCCTTCTTCTCGCAGCCGCCGACCCTGCGGTAACGAGTCCTCAAATGGACTCGAATCGATCTGAATGAGCGGGACAAATGCCGCCGGGCCCTGCCTACCCAACACATCCACTGCCCGTCGGCCAACAACTGCACAAAAATCAGCCGAACGCTCCCAGTCGCGTGCGTGCGAGTGTCGGAAGGGTACCTCCGCTACGGAGATCATAAAGTTAGCTTCGCCGTGCACAAATATAGCGGATACATCCAAATTCAAGATGCCCGCAGCCTGACGACACGAAGAGCGTCGTAACTTTGGGACTGTTTTCGAAGGCACAGGCCGCGGAGCATTTCTCTTCCACATTGCAAGTAAATTAGAGGATGCAGGACCCATTCGATTGCCGCAGACGCTTCGTCTTGCAGCGAAGTAGCCCGCTATCTTACAAGCTAAGGCACGCGCCAATGCAACCAGGCCACGCCATTTCCAAAGTGGCTCAAGGCAGCTCGATGACAGCCTTCCGTACAAGATTTCGCATCGAACGTCGATATATTAAATCCAGCCATGCACCCATAAGGGACAGGTCACGTTCGCGCGGCACGCCATTTGGCCCCTCGGCTTCAATACAATCAGCTGGAACAGGAAAACAGGGCCATGGTTTTTACGACGATGCTGTTTATTTTCTTAGAAGGCGATGGCTATCGTGCTTGAGATGAATAACACGATCGATGGTATGCACAGTCAAATGCACGCAATGCGGCGTGCTACATGCTGTACATGTGCAAGAGCTTCTTTGATCTACACCGGCAACTGAGGCAAACTCGCTGCACATATGTTACATCATACAGCACCCATCGACGATCCACTGTCTGTGGAATATGTGGTAACAGAGCTCATTGTCATTATCATCACTGAGCAGTTAGCACGATCTTTAAGATCAGTATCACAGAACCCATCCATGACCATCCTCCACCGACTGTAGCTGGCCGTAGCTTTCAGTCGAGCCGTTGGACCGAACTCGATGGTGCTGGAATCGCCTCTAAGCGACCCATCATGTTGTTTTCTCGCTTTGCCTTGGCTTTTTGTCCTTTCTGTCGCCCTTCTCCTCCCTTGGTTCATCACTTTGCTTTTTCGCTTTGCCTGGATTCTTTTTCTTCTTCCTCGTTTTTCCCCTCTCCTTCATTTTTGCCCAGTACTCCTTCCATCCCGCCTCACCTACGCCTGGCGACGGAGAAAATGGCAATGTTGGAACGATATACCCATCAGTTCCGAGTGCGAGCCCACACGAAACGCCACACAAACAGCAGAATCAGGCCCGCGACAATCTCAGCCCAAGAAAATCATCCCCGCGACTGTGAAACACCTCCCGTCCACCCCGCATCCAGCTCACACAGCCCTGATGCCGCTCTTGTGTGGCGCACCACCCCGCCCATCTTCCCGCCAGGGTGAGAGGCAGACGACGCCATATAGTTTCAGGAGCTGAGTGCGCCGGAAATCCCCACTGACTTCGGAGGTCACCCAACCACCAGCGTCAGTGCGCGGATGCCAACCGTGGCGGCTCGACCGCACTCCACACATACTGCGGCGGCGGTGGCTCGGCAGACCCGCACCTGGACGCATGCCGTAGTCGAAAGTGGCCGGTACGCGGCCGAAGGTTATGTTGTACGGCGTCAGCACGGACGGGTCGATGCTGATGCTCGGAGGCGCCGACAGCCGCACCTCTCGCGGCGCGTCCGAGAAGCTCGAGTGCAAGTCGGTGCCGCCAGGGCCGGCGTCGGCGCGAGCCAGCCGGGCGAAGGCGCCGGCGCGGGCGTCGTGTGACAGCAGGTACTGGCCTGGCTCGAGGTCACCCAGCTCCCGCAGCAGCGACTCCAGCACCTGAGAGGGACGCGGGCCGACGCTGACGACAGGCACAGGATCGCACCCGGACAGGGGCGCATCAAGCAGAGCAGGACGACTACCGCCAGTGACACCGGACAAGACGCAGATCACCCGCAGCTACTCGATCTCAGGCAGGAGAGCGATATCAGCAACATCAATTAATGGGGAGGGGGGGGGGGCAGATGGGGCAAGGGGTCACCAACGGTTGACACCCGACACGAGAACAGCTGACAACAGGCAGACAGTAATACAAGCCGGCAAAAACCGACGTCAGCCAAGGCGGTCACCAACCGGAATCAGTACCGAGCATACCAGCACCATCCAATGCAACGCAACGACCGACTCCTCGCACAAGTCGTGCCCAGCTCGGAGAGCTGGTTGGCTACGGTGCTACGGCCAGCATGAGAGAGTTGTGCTCCAGCCCCAACCAGGCACTGATAACATCAAACCCTGTAGCTGAACGCCCCAACGAGAGAGTCGCGTCTCTGACTGCGCAGGCACGCTGGAAAAACCAACGACGACCCAGCAGAAGACACCAACCTGAAGACCGTACTGTGGCCGAAATCCCGTGTCATACTTGATAAGCTCGTCGGTCAGCTGTTTGAGGGTCCTCTCCTCTGGAGTGATCACAATCAGGCTGACAGGATCCAAGTGCACTGGCGATGACCGAGGCCAGGTCAGGACGGTCGCCGACTTCAACATGCTCCCACACATGACGGGCCAATGCCAGGCTCGCGCGAGCCAGGGATACATCGCATCACTTCGGCACATAATACCCGTCTCGGTCGAGCAAAACGAGACAGGAAGCCAGCGAGCGACGGCAGGCGGCGGGGGGCGCCGCCGGTCGGCCCCGGCGAGCTGCGGCGCCGCGCCTACCTCGGAGCACGCGGCTGTCAGGCCGCACCAGGCAGTCCAGCCACTGGCGGATCAGCTCGGCCCGGCTCATCTTCTCGACGCCGTAGCCGGGCTGGTAGGCGGGCTTGGCGTGCACCGTGTAGCGGATCAGGCCGACCAGCGGGTTATCCTGGCGGGACGGGCACACCGGTCACGGCCTGGTCGACGCCGCAGCGCACGCCGCGCGGCCAGTCCGCGCACGCACCGCCGCCGGCCCCGCCACCAACAGGGGCACAGTCTCGCTGTTACCTCAGTCGCTGCCAGTCGGACACGGGTCGTTCGCGAGTCGGCACGCCGCTGGGACACACACCCCATTAATCGCCTACTAGACTCTCGCATCGACCGACTGGAACCTTAGAAGCCCTCACATGCCCATGAGGACATGATCCTCGCCCGTACTTCTACACATGGTAACACAATCTCCTGGGGCGTTTTCGTGAAGTGCGTCGCACTTCTTCAGACGATGCACACCAACAAAGTCCACGTGACCGCTCCCTAAGCACCACGGTTCGATCATCGCCGCCGACCGACCAGTACGCGACGCGCGCATGACGCACCCGCATGCCGTGTGTGGCCGTGCGCAGCAGCAGCTGGTGGCGGCCCAGCTGCCAGACCCGGTACTCGACGTTCAGACCAGGCGGCGGCCGGCGGAAGGCTGGGTCGGCGCCGTCGCCGCGGCGCGCCTCCGCCCCTGGGCCTGACTCCGGCGCCGCGGCGGCCGCCGAGGCTGCGGCGGCGGCGGCTGCCGGCTGTTCCTCGCCTCCTTCCGGAGAGAGGGCGGACTCCTCCGCCTCGCCCTCCGCACTGCGGGCGGGCCCGTCCGACCCCGCCTCCGTCTCCGGCTCCAGCCCCAGCTCCAGCTCCAGCTCCGGCTCCGGGTCCTCGCAGTCGATGCGCAGCTGCTCATCGTCCGAGTCGACCGACATGTCATCGCAGGAGCCGGCGTCGGCCGGCTGCACACCGGCCGTCGACTCGGGGGACGGACAGGCCGGCGAACTGACGCTCTCATCCTCCTCTTCCTCCTCCTCCTCCTCCAGCGATGAAGACGGCTGGGACTGTTGCTTCCCTTTCCCCTTCTTCTTTGACTTTGCAGATTTCTTGCCGGGTTTGTAAAATCTGACAGCAACAGCGTCGTCAATGAGAACATCATGTTAGAGGGAGTGTTCCACATTTGTGCGGGACTTTGAGCTGAAATGGCCGTCTTGAGGATCATTCGGTGCAGTTTGCAGCCTTGTCCTTCTTAAGACCTAAAGCCCTTTAATTTCTCATCTACACGCCTGCAAACATGTGCAACTTGTTTGGGGAGACCACTTCAAGGTCATCAAGGCACCCATGGCCTCATAATAACATCATTCAACTCTTGTCATTGCATTAGCCATGCGGCGATGAAGGCCAAGAAAAATATCATTGTCAAGTCGTTCATATCTGGCGCTCGTGAGCACGATTCCGGATATAACGTCCGTCAAATGGTTTTCAATCAATGTTGTGCGAGGTACGATGACGCAATCAAACGATGGCATAGTAAGCATTGTATTTACTTAACAGAGAAACTGCGTTGTCTAGAGCAGATTTTTACACTTCAAAATATAATAATAGTAAGTAAGCTCATTTCATTATCTCGTTTCGCTTCGTTACATCTGATGCTTGCTTCAATATCTTCAGATGTGGAACGTTCGTTTCAACGACGTGCTAATGCCGGTGATTAATCATGGACATCAGATGTGGTTTTAAGAAATGAAATTCCATAAAAGTAATGCAAATGCGCTGCTTTTTTCGAGTGAACAATACTATGACTAGACATCCCAGATTCAAATAGAATGTTCCATCAAGCTCAAAACTAAAGCCATCATGGGCGAAATCACGCCACCAGCCAACGCTCTCAGCAAATCCACACAAGCTTCGCCCTGCAACTCATGCCCTCCCCTCCAAAAGACATGCAAAGCCTGCCCCTGCCTCCCTGCCCGTGGCCGGGCTGACGGTGGTCCGGCCAGCCGGGTGAGACTCACCTCCTCCTGTCCTGCTGCGGCTGGATGCTATAGTCGACCGGGCCGTCCGGACGCCGCTTGCAGACCAGCAGGCGCACGGTGCGCTTGTGCGCGCGCGCGTTCCGCTCCATGTTGGTGAGACTGCGCGGCGGCAGTGGCTTGTCCAGGAGCACCAGGCTGGCGGCACAGCGGCGAGGTCAGGTCACGTCCTGGGGTTACGGGCGGACCGCGGGCGGGCGGGCGGGGCGGGGCGGGGCGGGGCGGGGCGGGCAGGGGCAGGGGCATGGGCAGGGGCAGGGGCAGGGCAGGACATGGGCAGGACATGGGCAGGCATGAGTAGGGGCCAGGACAGGGGCAGGGACAGGGGCAAGGGCAGGACAGGGGCAGGGGCAGGGGTTGCGCAACGGTCTGTCGCCAGGATACAGGCGAATCGCGACAATACACATGGCGCAGAGCCAGCCCAGAGCTATCAGAGTAGCTTCATGGACGCAGTGACAAATGGCGCACCAGCATCTCCTTCAACATCTCACATACTGAGAACGTGTGAACACTAACATTAACACAACACGAACTCCAACGAGGCTGGCAACAAAAAGATTAAAAAAGCTCGACAAAGGTGCCCACAGAGACAATGGCGCCGATCCAACGACAGAGCGGACGAGACCGGGGCGGTGACCACCACGCCAGGCGGCCGGCTACCGGAGGGCGCCGGCACCAGCGGCGCCGCGCCGCCCACTGACCGACGCGTGCGGCCCAGCTGGCGGCACGCCACGTCGCGCACCGTGACGGGCAAGTCCCACTGACGCTCCCAGGGCGCGCCGTTGTCTAGCAGCGTCTTCAGCACGGACGGCGTGGCCACGAAGCTGAAGTCGAGCGCCGTGGCCAGGCGGGTCACGTTGGGGTCGGCGCTGACTGCGGCAGGAGGCGCCGCGCGTCAGTCGGCGGTCGGGGGCAGGAGGCGCCGCGCGTCAGTGGGCGGTTGGGGACAGGTGGCATCACACGTCAGTCGGCGGCCGGGGGCAGGTGGCGCCGCGCGTCAGTGGGCGGTCGGGGGACAGGTGGCAATCACACGTCAGTCGGGCGGTCGGGGGGCAGGTGGCGCCGCGCGTCAGTCGGCGGTCGGGGGCAGGGTGGCACCGCGCGTCAGTCGCGGTCGGGGGCAGGTGGCGCCGCGCGTCAGTCGGCGGTCGGGGACAGGTGGCGGCCGCGCGTCAGTCGGCGGTCGGGGGCAGGTGGCGCCGCGCGTCAGTCGGCGGTCGGGGACAGGTGGCGCCGCGCGTCAGTCGGCGGTCGGGGGCAGGTGGCGGCCGCGCGTCAGTCGGCGGTCGGGGACAGGTGGCGCCGCGCGTCAGTCGGCGGTCGGGGACAGGTGGCGCCACGCGTCAGTTGACGGTCGGGGGACAGGTGTGGCGCCGCGCGTCAGTCGGCGGTCGGGGCAGGTGGCGGCGCGCGTCAGTCGGCGGTCGGGGGCAGGTGGCGCCGCGCGTCAGTCGGCGGGTCGGAGGGTCGGCGGTCGGGGGCAGGTGGCGCCGCGCGTCAGTCGGCGGTCGGGGGCAGGTGGCGCCGCGCGTCAGTTGACGGTCGGGGGCAGGTGGCGCCGCGCATCAGTCGGCGGTCGGATGCAGGAGGCGCCGCGCGTCAGTCGGCGGTCGGGGGCAGGTGGCGCCGCGCGTGAGTCGGCGGTCGGAGGGTCGGCGGTCGGGGGCAGGTGGCGCCGCGCGTCAGTTGACGGTCGGGGGCAGGTGGCGACGCGCATCAGTCGGCGGTCGGATGCAGGAAGCGCCGCGCGTCAGTCGGTGGTCGCGGGCAAGAGCCGCCGCGCGTCAGTCGGGGGCAGGTGGCGCCGCGCATCAGTCGGCGGCCAGAGGCAGGCGGCGCAGGCCGCGACGGAGGCATCGCCGACCAGAGCGCACCAGCCAGCAGGCCGGCAGCATGAGTTAGGCGGCATCAGGCGGCTACATACGCCAGACGGGAACACGCTGCTGGTCCCACCGAATCGGAACTGTATTTCAGGATTCGGGAATTAAGAAGACCTACGAGTAGTGCGGCAAGACCGCGGTCATCTACGGAGGCCTGCGCGAACGAGCCCTCCACACACACGCAAACGCTCTTCTTCGGGGTTTGCGCGAGCGCTTGGGGGCTAGCCCAGAGTACGGTCGACCTAACCTAGCAGCTGTGGTCAGGCAGGTGCGAGCAACGGTGGAGCCGTCGGCCGATGGCCGACGACCGCGGCACACCCGCTGGGACGGGCAGCTCTGGGGATCGACGAAGAAGCGATGTGAGGAGCGGCGCGGACCCGTTGGCCTTGTGCTGGAATCAATATGGAGTGACACCTTGAGCTTCTGGTTTTCTGGCATTGAGTTCAGAGTTCTTATGCTGACAGCTACCGACCCTCAATACACCACGAGGTACTGCTTCAACGACGTTATCCAGCAAAGACGGATGATATTACCAATACTTAACTTTTCCAGATGGGCTTATGATGGGTCATGATCATAAGCACATATAACCAATATTTGATCCATAATGTTGTTGAACCAGCACCTCCTGGAATACCGGACGCTTAGGGCAATCAGCAAAATAACCCGATACTCTGCATTAGCAGTATGCATGCGAGATCCATGCGTAAAGACAACTGTGGGCGACGCCAATTACCTGGGTCTTTGTACAGAAAAGTGCCATCCTGGGGCTTCCATCCATCGGTTCGCGTCTTCGGGTAGCATTGGGAAGATGGGAAGAACTGCTCCAAGAACACGCACTGCTTTTTGAGATCCGTGTAGTAGGTCATGTCGGGTATGACACACACGGGCACCTCGCCCAACTCTAGCGGCTCGCCCAGATGACTGAAGTTCGGCGGTTCGCCGGCAGGTGGCGCCAGCGGCAGCATGCCGATCTGCCTGTAGTGGCCTGGGTACTCCCTGACGCGCTGGAGCTTCGTCTGGCGGTTGGGGTGAAGCACATCAGTTGACCTCACCAGCCAGTTCGCCAAATGCCGACCAAAACATGTGCTATGCTGTTATACAATGCCCCACACAAAAGCCAGTTCTCAGAGCATGCCCCTCTGACTGCTGCGACCACTTCCACAGAGCCGCCACTTCAAAGGCAACCTCCGCGCGTCCATCCAGACCAGTGGGCAGCACCCGGGATACGACTCACCCTCATGGCCTTCTCCACGTAGCGCCGGATGGGGACGTGCGTGAAGTTGTAGCGGCCCAGTTGGGTGGCGTTCACCTCCCTTGTGAATGTGAAGAACTCATCTTGCTCCTGACGCATCTCCTCAATGAATCCCTGACGAAGTGCAGAACAACAAAGTCTCAGTAACTTAGATGTCACTGCCGGGTACGAATGACACGCAATGATGATATCCCATGAGGAACATGCTAACAGAGCTGGCGGAGTGCAAGATGACACTGGTAATTACCAACCCACCAAGAGTGGAATACGTTTACGACACGTTAGTAGCTCCACCCCTCCAGATGAAAACGGCTTATTGGTATCATTCCTGTGATCGCTTTTGCAGACGATCGCACCCTATACCAAACGTACACCTGCGCCCAGCATCATAATCATGTGAGCCCACGACCAAGCCAAAGGCTGGCTGCCAGCGGACAGCGGCCGCCCCTCTCGCCGTTGAGAGCCGCACCACGAGTTTCTGCACGTCTTGCGCCTCCGCCGGCGGCGGGTTGGTCGGAACGCCGGTGGCCCAGTAGCGCAGCATCATGTCCACGACAAACCGCTGTTGCGTCTTCGACCAGTGCGAATAGCGCGGGTACGGCACCGGCCGCTTGAACTTCGCCACCCAAAGCTTCGCCTCGCGCACGCCGGCCACCTGGCGGCAGATAGAAAAAACCGTACGTCTAGCGCCCGCCGGTAAGTGGCCGCCCGAAGGCGGGTCGGCGGCACCGCCGGCGCGTGCAACCCGCCGGCAATCGGCCGGCGGGCAGCCGGCGGTCTGCAGCTCGGACAGTACGTGTAACTTGGCTACCAGGGAGGTGGAAGTAGGCGGCACTACAACCAATGAGAAACTAGCGGTACTAACGTATTAACAGCGATAGTACTAACGTTGACGCCAGCACAAACGTGTACTACGTGTCCAAACATCTTGGCATGTCACATGGCCAGTCAGTTGCAACCCGTGGTAATGATCTGACGGCGTAGTATTTTGGAAACAGTATGTCGTACATCCCTTTTGATTATGCACAAAAGACGGTCGCTTTTCGTTTACATATCAGACTGTCGAGCAAGAAATTCACGATGCCCTGTTGTTCTTGTAACTGCGCTTACGGAAGTGCGTAATGTGTCATCAGCATTTTATTGATACTAACCCTCTTCTCAGCCAAAACAGCCAACCATGCAGAGTTAAGAATGTAATACCACTCCAGCATTAACTTCAATATTTCCTTAGTGTGTCGTAGTCGTCTTGCAGTAGACATAAATACATGAAGGTATCCGGCCAACAAGGAGACACAAGAGCTCCTCGAGGTTGGCCTACCTCAGGTTTCGCACACACCCTCAAAACTAGTTACCGGGCCTACATAAATTTAGCTATAAATACGATCCTTAGACCGACAGAGCTTGTGCAAACGGTTTTTGAATATTGCTTCAGGGGGACTTCCCGCAACTTCGCTTGTCAGTTCATTCCGATGGTTCACTACTCTTTAACTAAATGACACCTGCCTCTTCATAGTTATACTCCAACCTTTTGCTAGATGAAACTGGTTTCCTCTATGTCTCGGCATAATTTCCAGTGCTCCATGTAGATCTACCTTGACCCACAGATTTCTAGTGCTCCATGTAGATCTACCCTACAGCGCCCAATCAGCGGTGCAGCTCTGTTTATTGAACTGAGCAAAGCGTCAATGCTGAAGCCAAACTGGACGAGCGTACCGCTATGCAAAACGTGCAAAGGTGAGAACTAGATTTCGGCCGTTAGAATCGTCAGAAGAAACCACACCTTTCGCAGCGTTGACCTAGAGCGGGTTTGTAGGCTGAAGTTGGTTGCCCACACATGCATGGTAACACGGTGCTATGTACGGGCACGAGACCTCCGCACAGTGAGACTGTGGGGGGCAGCAGCAGGCAGCTAGCGCTGCCATGAGCTCGCTAGGTACGGGCACGAGATCTCCACACAATCAGAATGTGGGTGGCAGCAGCAGGCAGGTAGCGCTGCCATGAACTCTAGATAGATCCAGTTTGACATTGCATCTTTCTGGCCACGTTTCTCACTAAATGAGGACTCTTTTGATGTTCTAAAGGAGACGAGGTTCAACGTGGTGAGCTCTACATGGTGGATTGTGGGTATCGCTAACACACAAAGCCAAAAATTGAACTACTTTGACAAGTGCATAGGTGTGGGTGGACATACTACATTAGGACAAAACAACCAAAATTTGTATGTATCAAACCCATTTCACACCCTATGACAGAACAATGACTTCTGTAGGGGAGGAGTGGGCCAATTACAAACATAATTATATATGAAGTGATGTACAACCGCCAGCAGTACAAGGGTAAACCATGCCGACTGAGGGGCTGGATCAGTGTCAGTCCAGTTGGAGAGGACCCAGCAGGAACAAGCTGGCTGAGGGATGACACCTTCTGCTAATTCAGGATATGACAGGGTGTCCACAGTGGTAAAAGAATTGTGTGAGTGGACAATTTAGCAGTTAAAACTTTACTGGATATAAGCCAGCTAAACTACATTGGATGCATGAGAAACATGCTACACACCACCCAAGCAGTCAAAACACCTGGAAGTGCTCAAACAACCAGGAATCCAAAAGCTGTGAGGAGGCTGATAATACATAAAGTCACAAGCTACATGGCAAAGGGTTGCTTGGTAGACATAATCATCAGCAAAGATTGTACCAGAAACTCTGGTCTGCAGGTGCTGCAAGCAATTAGAAGGAATAGCAGCAATATCCATTATTGTGAAACTCAGTCTCAAACACAAAACAAGTTGAGGCAGCTCATATGACTAAATTCACATTGTAAACAATGGATACACAATAACATGATCATGTGATGAAAATCAAATAAGCTCACAAAAGAGACATGTGCTACATCAAGAACTCATGAGCCCACTTTATCTTCTTGCTTGGCTGGTTGCATACAGATACAAATGCTTATGAACAGGGGCTCAGCTAGGGGTGAAAAATGTTCTGGTGCAGTTTAACTTCATAAAATGTTGCATATGTCTCAATGATGCAGACATCACCAGCAGTGCACTACCAACCTTCTGGTTCAGATCCTGGACATCCTTCTGCTGCCTCAGCTCCTCCTCTCGCGCGGTGTCCCATTGCCGGCCCACCTCTGCGATCTGTTCGTCATACATGGGCATGCCGTCCTCGCCGTCCGAGCCGTCCCAATGCTCTGCTCCCGACAGCAGCCGGTGCACGTGCGACTGCCCCTCCAAGGTCATCCTCGTGCAGAAACGCGCCACGGTACCGCAGTATCTTGTTGTGCCTACAGAATTAGCATTCAGCTCGCTTACAATGCATGTACTTTAAATATTCCTCTTTATTACTATACATGGTGCCTGACGTCTTAAAACCGTCAGTTGACAATATAACATTGCATTGTAAGGTACCGATGCAAACTGTGACCTTACTCTACACAAATCGATAACTGGATTGAACCGCTGACAATATGCCATGCTACCCAAGACATACCCTAATAATAAACATACCCCACGTGCCCCGGTAACAAAACACAAAATGAGTAGAAATGCACTTACCAGTTCAGTTCAGCCATCGCTTCCTAATACCGCTTGGTATCTGAAACAGAATGGCACTCACATCCCATGCGCAAAACCAACACAACAGCCCAATTCCCAATACACCGTGACTACATGGCCGCGTGCACCACCAACATGCGCGAAACACCTTACGTATTCCCGCCGCTCACCCCCGTAGCGAAGCATCCGCGAGGCGAAGCTCAAAGCATCCGCTGTTGATGACGTCATGGGCTTCGCGGGGATGATGGCGGGTGTCGCGGTTTGGAGTAGGATTCAAGAAGGGTTTATTGCTTGTGCATCGGGGGAATGTCATAAGGTTTTTGAGAATTAAATACCAGATCTCCTGAAATTTATTGGTGTGAGACTACTGGAAAGAAACTTTAGTATGGTTGCGTCTCACATGCGGGCTACGAATATATCGTCATGAGAGCCGAAAGGGAAATGTATTAAGACTCCGCTTTAAGATCGAATGAACTTAACTGTGTTAAATGCTCCCAGCATATACTGATTTATGTTTACAGAAGTCTACGACCTTTGAAATATAATTGTAACCATTCAAACTGAAAAATATATTTTATGACGTCATCAACAGCTGATGCTGTTCATTATCCACCATTTCAAAAGATGCTTAACCTCAATGATTTCTTAATGTTGTGGTACGGAATGGTACGGAAGTGGAACGTCAGCCGTCTGGGGGGACGGGTCCGGGTCCGTGGGAATGCTTGTGGGGAAGTTGGGCCTACATTCTCGACTTGTGAGATGGGGCGAGTTTGACCCCTTGATTACCTGGTGAAGCCTCCTGCTGGTGACCAAGATCTGCCAAGGATAATGACGACAATACCTGGGTGGGTGTTAAAAAGAGTGATGTCTCATCACTTACCTTCTAGGTGATTCGGATGATTGCGTCCCCATCTTAGATTCTTGGGTCCGTCTTCATTGGAACACGTTTGAACGTCTTAAGGTGAAATTTGGGTTTCATCAGCACTTCATGTAGCTGATTAAAAGCTATCTTGCGTGTTGTATTGGTGGTTTGTTTGTGCCACAAAACACCCTCATTTAGGTGCAAATTACAGTTTGAGAGATTGGGAACCAGAGGCAGAATTCCAGACTGTCTCACAGACAAAGTGACCTCCCCTCATTTAGCCGCTTCACAGTGTTGTGTTTGAGGGGGTCCTGGCAGTGCTGGCCCATCATCATTTCTTTTGTTTCATCTAGCAATATTCATGTGAATAATTGTTGGCAATTCAACAGTTTAAGCACCTCTAGGACCTTACATGCTGGATGATTGTGGGGGTCAAATCTGGGACCTCTCCTTGTGCTTATATATATATATATATATATATATATATCAACAAGTGGGTGGTGGGTTCTGGGTTCTGTGGTGGCAACAACCATGTCTTGTTATCGTAATTATTATGAGGGGCGCTCAGATTTCAGTGTGTTCACAGAACATTCATTGTATGTACTAATCCACTCATGTTATATACTGCTTTATGTCCATCACAAACTTTATGTCCAGAGTGTCAAAAATAAACATCAAACAAACAAACAGTTCTGGGCATGGGGAGTCAGCAAAAAATGCAAGTGCTGAACATGTCTGGTGTAACAGAGGCTGTGGTGCAATAATTTTGGTGTATGCATGATGTAAATCTGAGCTTTCAGGGTTTGGCACACTCACCAATTTCAGTGCATAGAGAGCCAGAGTCTCAACACAGCAAAGACACCAGTCTCTCCACAACAGGATCCTTCTGATTCACACAGTGGCCTCCAAACCCAGCAAAGGGCCTCATTATTCCAAAGCAGGGTATCCTGATCCATAGCAGCATCCTTCAAATTCATGAGAGAAGCTTTCTGGTCCAGAGAAATAGTTGCCTCCTGATTGCAGAGGATGCCTCTGAAGCCAGAACAGGGATTCCAAGTTCATAATGGGGATGATCTGAACCAGCAAATGGCCATTTTTATCATGAAATGAGGCCTCTTAGTGTAGATAATCTCCTCAGCCTGATTTTGTGCCTATGTGGGTCTCATTTATGTGGGTCATGAGATATATGTAGCTTAAAAATATTTTGTTTGGGCAAAGGGTTTTATAACTAGGAGAGGAAATTCACCTTTATGCTGCTGTTGTATGCTACAACTGCCCCCCCCCCCCCCCTGTCCCTTTCCTGCCTCACCTGCTGTGCCACCCTTGCCTACAGCTTAATAGTAATGCTTCATTCAAATGTGTCACATGATGTTTGTTGCAATGTGTGGTCTTGACTGCAGTCTCAAGGTCTAAGCATTCCAAAAATTGTTTTAAAAACAATGAAAACGTGTAGGGGACGGCTTTATATTGATACATCTTACATTGATTTTGAAAACCTTCCTTTGGCTGGTTGCACTGGCACATTTTGTAAGTCATTACATATTTCTGAAGTAGGGCAGTGCATCTCATGACAAAGGAATACTTTTGTACCTGGCTTGCATTTCGTCTTGCAGGGGTCATATGGGGATTGTGATTGTGCTCAGGGATTGTGAAACAATTTCAAATAGCTAGGAAAGCTGTAAGTGACAGCCTCCAAGTTTCACTTACTTTACTTAAAAGTTATTTTTAGTTTGAATCTAAGCAGGATTTGCTTCTTTGGCTCAACCATGACTCCACCTAAGTAATATTGAGTTGATCATTTCATTGGTGTGCTTTGGTGTCTGTGGAACTGATTTCAGTGACAGAAACTGGAGCATACCTGCCTGAAATTGTTTTGCAGGCTACAAAATACTGTGCAGGACATCCATTTTGACTGAAAGATGGTAAAATGTTGATTGCCCTGTTTGCTGCACATTGAGTCACATCAAAATGTTGACATCTATAGTTGGTGACATTTAGAGTTTTGTTGACCCATCATGACAATATGACTCAATCAACTTTAATGTGATGTGAACAATTGTGCAGATCAATCCAACCTGACTAAAGGCAAACCTGGGTGACAAAAGGCTTCCAGCACTAGGTCAAGTGAAGAACTAAGTGCAAGCATAGAGTTAAGCAAAAGTCTGACAATCACATGGCAGAGCTCATTTGCAGGATAGCAGTGCCAGTAGTGTGGCGATTAACGCATCTGCGTTATCCACTGTGCATCTGGGAAATTAGAGTCACAGGGTTTGATTCCCCACGGCGCCTGCCCTTCCTGCCAGCGTGAGAGGCACGTGACGCCATATAGCCTCAGCAGCTGAGTGCATCGTAAGGCCCCATTGACACACACATGACACTTTTGCATGGTGTTACAGGCAATGCTGAAACAACAGCAACTTAGCAAGTTTTTCTCAAGATCTTTGAAGCCCTACCAACCTCTTAATCAAGCGACTTCTTAGGTGCGTTAAGAATGGCCCAGACGGACCAGGATGATGCACAGTGGCTGCATGATGTCCTGCTGGAAGTCCAGCTGGAAAAGTTCTTCACCAGAATCAAGGATGAACTGCAGGTGAGAAGACTGTCATTTTGTGCTACCTTCCAGATTTGTGAGGCATGACCATTCCAACTTTGTACCACTGTGCATGTAACCTTTCATGGATTGGCAGAGAAGGGGAGTGATGACTGGCAGCCTGATGCTTATTTCAGGTTGTACCCAACTCTTAACTCTAATGCTTAGTGAAACAGAGAGTTTATAAAGGGTCACCCAAATCACGAAGATAATACTGCTGTGGGAAAACATAGTGTGAGCAGCATGCCCTATGATAAGAAATATCCGTCTGCTGGACTGGCTTAGTGCTATGCATTTTCTATAGATCTGTTCACAAAGCAGTCACCAAAGACCACGTGTAATGCAGAGTGGTGACGTGGCATGACGGCTGGCGACTGTCTGGCCGGCGGTGTGTGCCGGCCGCCCCGCCGTGCTCGCTGCCCCCGCCGTCCCCCGCCCCGTCCTCCGAGCGCCGCCGCCCGTCCCCAGGTCACGCGCATGTCGCACTTCGACTACGTGCGTCCGGAGGACCTGGAGAAGATCGGGCTGGGCAAGCCGGCGGCGCGCCGGCTGCTGGAGGCGGTCCGCCGGCGCCGCCAGCAGCTGTGGCGCCGCAACCTCATCAGCAAGCTGATTCCGCTGCGGCCGCGGCCGTCGGCGGCGCCCGACGCCGGCCAGACGGCGCGCCCGGCCGTGCGCTCGCCGCCCACCGTGCGGCTCACATGCCTGATACAGGAGAAGGTACGCCGCCGTCCCCGCTCGCGCCACCGCGCGGGTTAACTGCTGGCGGGCGGTGTCTGACCGTGAGATGGCGACCGCTGAGGTTTTGGCATCGGGAGGTGGGTCCGCCTTTGACCGCATGTCAAGACGCGCGTGCCCCGTGCCAAAGCTGTACAGCCGCCATGACTGCTGTCCTGACCCCGGGCGGCGGCTGTGAGCCGCGTGCCGTGCCGTGCCGTACCGTGCCCCCCCGCCCGGCGCCGTTTGTGACGCCGTCGCTCCCCCCCCCCCCCCCCCCCCCGGCCACCGTCAGGACCTGACGCTGCACGAGCGGCTGGGCGACGGCTCGTTCGGTGTGGTGCGCCGCGGCTCGTGGAGCGACCACGCCGGACGCTCTCTCTCGGTCGCCGTCAAGGTGCTCAAGCAGGAGTCGCTCAACCAGCCGGGCGTGTTCGAGGACTTTGTCAAGGAGGTGGAGGCCATGCACCAGCTGAGCCATCATAATCTCATCACGTGAGTGCGACGGCTTCGTCGCGGTGTGGTGCTGGAGTGTCACTACTCCGTCGCGATGTCGTCAGTTGGGTGTTGCCGCACCGTCATAGAATCGTTTGGTGAGCGTCGCCAGGCCGTTGCGCGTCGTTGCGGAGCTCGCATTCGGCCTGCAAGCCGTTTGCCGTTGCGTCAGTTGGCTGGCTCTTGCATGTTGTGTGTCTCCTGACTATTTAGTGGCCGGCCATTGTGCTGACACCGTATGGTCTCTTCATGGGGACAGCACTGTCCGCTAGGGTGTAGATTTTACTGTCCTTCCACATTTTTTGTTTGTGGGCTAAGCTATACTTAATTGTTGCAGTAATTGTGCGACTGGATTATCGTAATTAATATTATCCTTTTGTAGTGCCGTCATCGGCGTGTTCCTTACGATGGGAACATTTTCGTTTGAGACTTAAAGGGAATCTTTCACATTTGAAGATGCTGAAGCAAGCATCAGATATGACGCAACAAGCTCACTTGTAACTACTGGTGTGCTATTTAATTGAAGAAAAAAAACGCTGTAGACAGCACAATTCTCTGTTTAGTGAATATGATCCTCAATGTGCCATGGTTTAATTACGTCATCGTACCTTTGACACCATTGATTGATAGCCAATTGACGGCCGTTATATCTGGAAGATGCGCTTACGAACGCCAGATATGAACGTCTCGACAAACATGTTTTTCTTGGCTTTAATCGCCGCGCGGCTTATGGAATGAGGAAGATTTAAATTGCGTAACTATGACGTTACGAATGCCAAGGTGACCTTGAAATACTCTCCGGATATGCCTTCTTATTTTCGCGGGCGTGTAGCCGAGAAACTAGAGGGGCTTAGGTTTTATGAAGGGCAGCATTGTGAACAGCATTGAAAGGTCTTCAAGATGGCCGTTTTGGCTCAAACCCCCATATACATATGGAACACTCCCTTTAAGTGGTAATGTGCAGCATGCCACCTTAAGTGCAACTTCGTCAGCTATTGCTAGAGCATTTGCTGAGATGTTAATGTGACCAAGTAAGCGATCCGTTCAGTTGAGCTTTCCCAGCCTCTGCTTGTGGAGTCGTCTGAGTGCAATGTTTATGACAGTCGGCCGGAGGCCACTCGAGGTGAATGACGAGCCTTGAGATCGGTTCGAACTGAATCGATTTTACAGCTGTTATCCCTCCTTGGCGCGGTGTCACGCCCTGACCTGACCTGGGCCATCTGTGTTGGCCGCAGCCTGTACGGCATCGTGTTGGGTCAGCCGATGATGATGGTGACCGAGCTCGCCCCGCTCGGCAATCTGCAAGACTACCTCAGGAAGCAGATCTGCAGGATATCGCTCCTTGGTGGGTGCCCCGGAGGCTTCGACGGCGCCTCTTGTCATGCGCGTGGCTCCCTCTGTTTGCTCATCCGCGCTTTTTTGATAGGAGGACCTAATTCAGCTGCACAGTGGCGGCGTGTCTGTGCTGAGCCGCTCCAAGGCGCTAAGCCCCATGATTGGACCGGGCTCGGTTGGGAAATGGGTGGTGGCTTTATGTCCCGGGTTGAACAGTAATCAGTTACGACCCATGTGGTGGTTTGTACACGTCTGTGTGTCACGTACTAGGGCTGCCAGCGGACATGTGACGGCCACCTTGGCTGCAGTGCTGTCACAACACGCGTGCCGCAGTGCTGTCGGGCCGCATGTGCTGTGGTGCGGTCGTACTGCATCCTACTACGTGCTGCCTTGCTGCAATGCAGTCGGACCACAAGTGACTGCCGTGGCGCAGTTGGACTGTACCTGACTCCGTGCTGCAGTGTTGCCGGACTACTTATGACTATGCTGCGGTGCAGTCGGACCACATCTCACTGCGTGCGGCAGTGCAGTCGAGCTAACTGCACGCGATGTGCCGCAGCGCTGTCGGACTACGCCCGCCAGGTAGCCGCCGGCATGGCGTACCTGGAGTCGCGCCGCTTCGTGCACCGGGACCTAGCGTGTCGCAACGTGCTGCTGGCCGCCGCTGACCGGGTGAGCGCCGGCCGCCCTCGCGCCGGACGGGACGCCCGGCGGCCGCCGACCCGCGCGCCGGCCCGGCCGGGACGTGTGTCTGACGGCCTGCCTCCGGGGTCCGGACATGACGGCGGCGGTGGCTGGCGGTCATGGTGGTGTGTGTGTGTGTGTGACGATCTTTGTGCCCTCATGTCCGATGGGCTGTGCTGCTTGCTTTGCTGGCATCTAGTGTGGTTGTGTGGCTTGAATTGTCAGAGAGCCGAAGTCATGGTGGCGACCTGCTTTTTTAAGCTAAGTTGTGAATGCTTCGCCCTCGGCAGCTAGAGGCCACTGCTCGCCGAAATGTCATAACATACTGGATATCAACGATGCGTGGAGTTTTGTCAAGTACGCGTGCGACAGTAAATGACTTTTTCAATGAGTGGGGCAATCGTGATAGGCTGTCTAGCGTTAAATTGAAGATACGCAATTTCCCAAAATAAGTTATGGTTTGCTTATCAATGTTTCACTTATGTTTCACGCGCTCTACATTGTCCAAACTAAACGTAGTTATTGCTATGAACCAGGCCGCGGCCGTCTTAACCCGGGTCTTTTCGTGGTCACTCTGCGTGCCTGTCCCGGCCTTGGGGCCGTGTGCGGGCGCCCGCCTCCGCCAGCTGCTCACCGTCGCCGTTCCGCTTCCTCAGCTGAAGATCGGCGACTTCGGGCTGATGCGGGCCATCCCACTACAGGAGGACTGCTACGTAATGACGGAGCAGAAGAAGGTGCCGTTCCCCTGGTGCGCCCCGGAGAGTCTGAAGACGCGGCAGTTCAGCCACGCTTCCGGTCAGTCTGTCAGCAGCAAGCCGGTGCGTGGCGATCCGGCGGGGCGGCGTGGTTCGACGTGGCCGTGGACGTGTGGATGCTCGGTGTGGCGCTGCGGGAGATGACGACGCGCGGTCCGGTGTTCCTGCGGACGTGTGGATGTTTGGTGTGACGCTGTGGGAGATGGTGACGTGGTCCGTTGTCCCTGCAGACGTGTAGGTGTTTGGCGTGACGCTGCGGGAGATGATGACGCGGTCCGGTGGCCCTGCAGACGTGTGGATGCTCGGTGCGGCGCTGCGGGAGATGATGACGCGGTCTGGTGTCCCTGCAGACGTGTGGATGTTTGGCGTGACGTGGTGGGGATGATGACGTGGTCTGGTGTCCCTGCAGACGTGTGGATGTTTGGCGTGACGTGGGGGATGATGACGTGGTCTGGTGTCCCTGCAGACGTGTGGATGTTTGGCGTGACGCTGGGGATGATGACGTGGTCTGGTGTCCCTGCAGACGTGTAGGTGTTTGGCGTGACGCTGCGGGGATGACGACGCGGTCCGGTGTTCCTGCGGACGTGTGGATGTTTGGTGTGACGCTGTGGAAGATGACGACGCGGTCCGGTGTTCCTGCGGACATGTGGATGTTCGGCGTGACGCTGCGGGAGGTGATGACGTGGTCCGGTGTCCCTGCAGACGTGTGGATGTTCGGCGTAACGCTGTGGGAGATGATGACGTTCGGAGAAGAGCCGTGGGTCGGCCTGAACGGCGCGCAGATACTGCAGAAGATCGACTCGGAGGGTGTGAGACTGCGGCAGCCGGATGCCTGCTCGGACCAGCTCTATCAGCTCATGCTGCAGTGCTGGTCACACAGGTCTGTCCAGCACTATCAGCGCAGGCACCCGAGTGTCCAGCTCTGTCAGCCTATGTGCTGAAGTGTCCAGCTCTATCAGCCCACGCGCCTAAATGCCCAGCTCTATCGGCTCATGTGCTGAAGTGTCCAGCTCTATCATGTCATGTGCCAAAGTATCCAGTTCTATCAGAGCACGTGCTGAAGTGCCCAGTTGCATCAGGCCATGTGGCGAGGTGTCCAGCTCTATCAGCTCATTTGCCAAAGTGTCCAGCTCTATTGGCCCATGCGCTGAAGTGTCCAGTTCTATCAGCCCATGTTCTTAAGGATCCAGCCCTATCAGCCCATGTGCGTAAGTCGCCGCTACTCCGATGTCTGCAAAGCTGTTGTTGATCAATAATTGATGTACTTGAATGTTATCTGTCGGCTGGACAGATAGTTGCTCCATTTCCTTGAGCAATACTTGTGAATAAGTAAAAGACCATGGATTACGTAGCAAGGATGGCGTTGGCGCCGTGCAATACCTTACTTATGGACTGTCACACGTAATGGTGACAGATGGTGACCGCAGTCAGCCAACTAGCCATGTTCTTCTCCCGCTAGGCCGGCGGACCGTCCCAACTTCGCCGCCCTCTCCGACTTCCTGCTGGAGACGCGGCCGGTGGCCATGCGGGCCACGCGCGACTTCTCGGAGGATGGCAAGCTGCAGGTGCAGGCCGGTGACCAGATCATCATCATCGACGGAAAGTAAGCGCTGGCACGGCGGCGGCCGCCGGATGTAGTGGCGCATCGTCCGCTCCCAATCGGATGGGAGCAGGTGCGCTCTGCCTGCGCGTTTGTTTAAGCCTGAGCTCGATGGCCGATACCTCCCGTGGCAGGTTTGCTCCCTCGGGTGTGTCCGCGATCCGCGGGCCGTGTCGGCGATGCTAGGACCGCGGCGTGGAGAGCAGCACGCGGCAGCAGTCTGGGTACGTTGTGCTGTCGCGCAGGGCGGAAAACTTCTGGTGGAAGGCGCAGTCGGAGGCGAGCTGGGAGATCGGCTTCCTGCCGCGACAGGCGGTGGAGCCGCTTCGACGCCGCAACCAGGAGGACATCAGCCAGCCACTCCACAACTCATTCATACACACAGGTCAGTGGAGGGCAAGCTCAAGAATCAGCAGGCCAGCGCAGCTGTCGCGCGCGTGTGTGAGAGGTAGTGACGCGGTGCGCACCGGCCGTCTTCTGTTGCGGCCAGCTGTGAACCGCAACTGCGCGAAAATGCGCTTTGCTGGATGCCCAACGCTATCACGCTGTCATTCATAAACGCGATGTGTAGCGCACTGAGTCGGCGCTACCAAATCACCGCTTCGACGGCGGGGTGTTCAGTGTCGGGGGAGTGAGACGGCAGCGGGCGGGCTGTGTTGCCAGGCCACGGCTCGCCGATGGGACAGACCTGGGGCAGCCCGGCCTTCATCGACGAGGTGTACCTGAAGAACCCGCTGGAGCCGCCCGACCTGCGAGACGAGCGCGTGTCGCGCGCCAGACTGGTGCGCCCCTCCGAGTCCAGCCTGGCCAAGAGCAAGCGCCAGCACAAGCAGTACAACTACAGCCAGTTCAGCGACGACTGGTCGCCGGAGGAGTGGCAGCACGAGCGAGTCAGCCCGACGCCGTCCACAGGTCAGCGCGGTGAGCCTAGGGGATGTTCGACGTGGAGGCGGGAGATGCGGCGGCCCCTTCCCTGCTTTTTTCCTCCCCCTGGCAGCAGGCGGCAAGCCCTTGGGCTCATCGGCGCCTTCGGCAGCTTGACTGGCCTGGTCGTTTGCTCTCTGGTCAGAGTCACCCACCTCGCCGAGCGCATGCTGTCGTGTTGATTGTCGCACAGTGGCACTGATGGAGCGGCGGCCCCTGCGACCGGCCGGCCGCGGAGCGTCGGGCCGCCACCTGCAGCTCGGCGCCTGCCGCAGCCCTCGGCGCCACTGACGCCCGCTGCCGGACAGGCGGCTCCGGCGACTCCGGCGGCGGCGCGGCCGGCCTGCTCATCGACCTGGACGGCACGGCTGGCGGCACGAGGACGCCGCCGCTGCCGGCGGTGGCGTCCGAGCCGATGCGACAGGCCCGTCCCGGCGCCGCCGACTCGCTGCTGGACGTGCGCGACATGCCAGGTGGGAGCGGATCGCCGGCCAGTGTGCGGCCGCGGGAAGGACGCGGCTCGTGACAGCGCTGGCTGTGACGGCGGCATATTGATTGTCTTGTCCCGTGGTGCAACGTGTAATGCGCTTGGTTGTCTTGCTGGATTGCGAGAGCTTGAGAAGTGTCAGCCAGCTGGATGCTGTTCACCTGAGTGAAGCATGTGCTCTTTGAATGTGTCGCGGGTGCTGCCATTTTCCTGCTGTGGTTCACGACGCTGGGCCTCTTCAGTTAGTTACGTGGTTTATGAACTCGGGTAGCAACGATCTGCGTGGTCCTCAGACGAGCACGAGTCGGCCACCTACCAGAATCTGCCGTCGACCCGGCCGGCCGAGCAGCGACGCATCTACTATGCTCCGCCTCCGGAGGCGGCTGGCCGCTATGATTGGCGGCCGGGTGAGCCGCCGGAACGGCGGGTCGGGCCTCCGCCGCGGCCGCCGCCGCCGCCGGCCATCGCCCCGCCGCCCACCAGCCAATCGCGACCGGCGTGCGCGCGACGTCAGACGCCGCCCGACCAATCGCAGGCGGCGCCGGCCTGGCGCAGCGAAACGGAGTTGTCGTGCTACACCGACGGCAGCGGATCGCCGGTGGCGACTGACGTCGACGCCGAGGAGCGCTCGCAGAGCGTCACCGACCTGCTGGACGAGCACATTGAGCGGCTGGGGCTGGGCGAGGCGGCGCGCTGCGAGAGCAGGCCGCTAAGCGCCGGATCGGCAGACTACGACCCGTTCGACACGTCCAACGTGGTGCTGCCGCCGCCGCGCGCCGAGGAGATCGTGCCCGACACGGGACGATGGCGCCGGCGACGACGCGAGCTGGACGCTGCGTCCGCCGGACGGCGCCGGCGACGCGCGCCTGGAGTCGGCGGTCGTGCCATACGGGCGGCGGCGGCGCTGGTGACGGCGCCGCGCGCAGCGCCTCGCCCGTCAGCCGTCCGACGGCGCTCAGCCCCGAGCTGGTGTCGCGTCTGGAGGCGGCGCTGGCAGCGCGCTCCGCGCCGCCGGCGCCGGCCGTCGCGCCGCAGCGCCAGTCGGAGCTGGTCAGCCGCAACCTGCAGCTGATCGCGCGCGCGCAGGTGGGCCGCTCGGCCGGCCTGCCGCCGGCACCGCCCGCGCCGCTGGCCGCCATGTACCGGCCGCAGGCGGCCAGCCAACACCCGCCTGCTGCCCGACGCCGCCGGGTGAGTGGCGGACTGGCGCCGCTCGGCCGTCGCGTCGGTCAGAGTCGGCCGTCCGGTCCGGCGGTGCTCAGGCTGTCTCTCTGCGCACGCTGCCGCGTCGGTAACCCCCCCCCCCCCTTTCCCCGCCACTTGCCGCGCCCCCTGACCTCCACACCGCTGACACACTGACGTCACCGACGTGCCACTGACGGCGCCTTCCCGCCCAACAGGCAGTTCGAAGACGACTTCTCGCCGCTGGCGGCGAGGTACGGCTCGCTGCCGATGCTGACGCCGACGGCGGCGTCTGCGCGGCCGGCCTCGCTGGCGGCGCCCGCCGAGAGCTCCTCGCCCGCCTACCCGGCCGTGCTGGCCGACTTTGACCCGCTGCTGAGCCGACAGACCGCCCCGGCCGCCGCCCGTCACCGCTCAGGTAGTGTCGGCCGTGCGGCGTTCCGTCCGTTGACAGTGCCTAGCTGGCGCCTTGTTTCGTCTCGTCTGTATCGTCGTAGCGTATGGCTAAGCTCAAAAATGTCCATGTTGGTGATGGTGCGGCTTCAGCCGTTATCTGGTGCTGTCGGGTGGTGTGTGCTATCCGGCCGATCTGTCCGGTGTCGTCTGACGGTGCGCGCCTGTGGTGTCGTCCTGCGCCGGCTGGTGCCGTCTGGTGCGCGCCTCGGGCCGGCCAACTGACCGGGCGCGCGCGGCGCCGCTGCGCAGGTGCGGCCGTTCCAGCTGAGCAGGAGCCGCTCCCAGTCCAACCGACAGCTGGGATCGCCGACGCGCTCGGTCAGCACCGCCGCCGCCGCCGTCCGCTCGCCGCCCGCCGGCGGGCCGCACAGGAAGGTGAGCCGCGCCGCGCCGTCGCGCAGTGTGGTGCTCCGGCGAGTGAGTCGTGGTGCCATCTGTGGGCCGGCCGAGGTAGATGAGGTAAATGGTGGGGCCGATGACAGAAGGTCCGCGCTGCTGGCGGGCGCTTCTGCTTTGGTAGATGAGGTAAATGGTGGGGGCCGATGAAAGAAGGTCTGTGCTACCGGAGGGCGCTTCTGCTTTGGTAGATGAGGTAAATGGTGGGGCCGATGACAGAAGGTCGGCGCTACTGGCGGGCGCTTCTGCTTTGGATTTCGTGGGCAGGCAGGCGCCGTGATGTGTCGTCCTCGGTTTCTGTGGTTTCTGAAACTGTCATCTCTGCCAGTCAAAAGAGGTACGGAAGCTGCATTATGCAAACGCAGGCTATAAGTTGGCCAGTGCCGGCCGCCAGCCCGACCGCGTGTTTCGCTGCGCCCGCACGTGGGGCGCCGCCTATGCCGTGCTTCCCTGGCGCGGGGCAGTGTCGTCTGCCTTCGAGCGTGTGTGGCCGGCAGGGGCTGACCGTCCGTCCGGCAGGTGGACGTGCCGCTGGCGGTGCGCGAGGTGCTGCAGCAGCTGCCCGGCATCCCGGTCTCCGAGGTCCGCTCGGCGCTGCACACCTGCGCCGGTGAGAGCGCGCCCGGCCGCCGCTGCGATGGGGGGCGCTCGGCCGTGCCGCCGCCGGCAGCCGGCCGGCGGCACCGTGAACGCCGCGCACGCCATCTGTTGGCGTGTCCCGCCTCGAGTCTCGCGTCTGTGTCGGCGCCGGCTGCTTTGCGGTGTTGTGGTTGTCGCTGTGTTCGCGTCCCTCTGATTGGTCGTCACAGCGCAGGTCTGCCGCCCCGGTCGCGGCCTGGTCAGGCGGGCCGGCCAGTGGAGACGCGCACAGACCAGGGTCTGGCCGGACTATCCCTCTCGTTGGTCACGCAGAAGAGACAGAGCTCAGTGCCCGTGCTGACCCTCCCTCTCCCACAGGTAACATCCAGGGTGGTGGTCACGCAGAAGGGACAGAGCTCAGTGCCCGTGCTGACCCTCCCTCTCCCACAGGTAACATCCAGGGTGGTGGTCACGCAGAAGAGACAGAGCTCAGTGCCCGTGCTGACCCTCCCTCCCCCACAGGTAACACCCAGGGTGCTATCAAGTTTCTGAAGGTGGACCGGCTGTACCGGCTCGGCCTGGCCACCAAGCCGCAGTGCGAGGCCATGCTCTGCTCGTTCAACTGGGACGTGGAGCTGGCCGCCAGCCGCATGCTGGACACCATGTGAGGCGGCGGCGGCCAGCGACCGTCTGCTGGGCCGCCGTCGGCCGCAGGCGCGCCGGACACACTCGGCGCCGGTGCTCGCTGCGGACGCGCGCGCAGGGGGCAGCACCGTCACGCCTGCGCCGCTCGGGACCAGGGTGTGTTCCTGCCCGTGCGCCGCTATCGCCGGCGACGGCCGCGGGCGCTGGCCTCCGCTCGTGGGCATTGTGACATATGTAGTAGGCTTACTTGGTCAGGAAGCATGACAATAGCGGACCATGCGCGCCGTGGGTGAGTTTGGGTTTGTTGTCGCGGGAGAACAACGCCCCCTCATGTATGCACGAGTCGCACACGTGTCAAAACGTTAGATGAAAATGCACGACGTAGCAGTGAAGGCGACTCGCACCGCTTAGCTAGCGTCAAGTCAACGGTCTACTTAACCAGCGCGTTTTCGCTGGCAGCGTAGTGCGACCTCGGTGCGTCGCTCGAGATGTCTTGCACGCCAGTCGCCTGCTTCTTGCACGCCTGGTGGCGGTTTCATCGGATGTTGCCCGCGCGCGGCACACAGCGCGCGCTTCTCCGAACTGGGAAGGGATCTGATCGTCACAAACAATCTCTCGCCGATATTGACCCTGCGTCATGTGAGATTCCGTACCGGCGCGCCGTTCCGTGTTAGATGTGTTCAGGCGCCGCTCCGTGCGCCAGCACTTCTCCCATTCCAGACGCACACTTGGCGGCATTCGCAGGGCATTGGCGTTGGGCTGGCCGCCACGCACGCCGGTTTGGGGGCCTGTTCGCTGGATGGACGAGATGCGGTACCCAGCCATGCACTGCCGAACATCCGTGCCCCGCTGGTAATGGTGTTCTCCGCGCCGTTGCGACGGTCCTGCTCGGCCCCTGCCGCTGTTGGTCCTGCTCGGCTCCTGCCGCTGTCGGTCGTGCTCGGCCCCTGCCGCTGTCGGTCCGGTCTGGGCTCCGACCCTGGTGCGGGCGTCTCGGGTGCCCGGGCATGTCTCTGACCTCGATAGGCGTCCGTTGGGGCGCACCAAGTCCGCTCCCTCCCACGCCTCGCTGTTCAGTCTTGTTACCCATCGACGAGCGCCGGTTCACCCCTGCCGTACCCGCCACCCGGCGGGCCGGTCCTTCGCCCGGCCAGCACCGCACAATAAGAGGATAGTCTGGGTTCACCACCGTGGGCATCGACTGACGATGTGATTCCCGTCTGTGTGTAGATCTTTCCAGATGCAAGGCTCTGTGCTTCCGTGGTGGCTGCTGGAACTCTCGCCTGGCGTTCAGGTGCATTGTAGCATCTCTCGCTCGGTGCGTCAGGTGCATCGTAGCGTCTCTCGCTCGGCGCGCCGTTACCAGCGTGCTGTTGTGGCGATTATGGTGATTTTGGACTCATTTATCAGAGATTGTAGAGGAAGGGTCAAGCCCGTTTGACGATATCATCCAGGATGTTTGTTAATGACGCGTGTCCTTTGTAAGCTCGCGCAGGTGCAGATAACAGATCTGAATGCCTGTGGCTTCTGTTACGCAATGCTGCTGTTGGAGACAATATATGTTACATGATTATTACACGAATTTACGATTTTCCTGCCTCGGAAACAGCCTCGGAAACCTGTCACTGGTGGAAAATCGAAATCGTGCATTCTGTCGATCTTCTCGAGCCGAAATGAGACGCAATTAGGTCAACCGGCAGTCTGCATTCCCGCCGCGTGCTGAGACTGCCAGGCTTCACCCATCGACGAGCGAACAACAAGGCGCGCAGACGCATTAGAGCGCGGCCCTAACGGTGTTGGATTGCGTCGAACTGGGGCGACCGTGCGGGCGCGGCCGCTGCTGCAACGGCTCTGAGACCGGGAGCACGCCGTTGACCGCATGTTGCGCCACCGGCCGCGGATTGCGGGGAGAAAGGAGGGGGCGGGGATGCTGGGCGCGGCTCGGACGGACGGCGCCGAGCCGGCGCGGCCGATCACGGCAGCTCCGGCCGATCCTGTGCTGCTTCCCCGCGTCCCCACACGGCGGACTGGACAGACGACAGCTGCCTGCGTCCCCACACGGTGGGCGGAATAGACAACAGGTCCCTGCTTCACCTCACGGCGGACTGGACCAACAACAGCTTCCCTTCTCCTCCGCACGGCGGACTGGACACGCAACAGCTCCCTGCGTCCTCTCTCGCTGGACGGAATAGACAACAGGTCCCTGCGCCCCCTCACGGTGGACTGGACCGACAACAGCCTCCCTTCTTCTCCGCACGGCGGACTGGACAGACAACTTCCCATCTTTTCCGCACGGCTGACTGGACAGAAGACAGCTCCCTTGTGTCCCTGCACAGCGGACTGGATCGGCGACGCCTTCCCTTCTTCCCCCATGTCCCTGCACAGCGGACTGGGCAGGCGACAGCTTCCCTTCTTCCCTTATGTCCGTGCACAGCGGACTGGGCAGGCGACAGCTTCCCTCCTTCCCCTATGTCCCTGCACAGCGGACTGGGCAGGCAACAGCTTCCCTTCTTCCCCTATGTCCCTGCACAGCGAACTGGGCAGGCGACAGCCTCCCTTCTTCCCTTATGTCCGTGCACAGCGGACTGGACAGGCGACAGCTTCCCTTCTTCCCCTATGTCCCTGCACAGCGGACTGGGCAGGCAACAGCTTTCCTTCTTCCCCCATGTCCCTGCACAGCGGACCGGATCGATGACGCCTTCCCTTCTTGCCTGTGCGGCTGCACATCAGACCAGACTGTCGACTGCTCTCTGCAGTCCGCCCACTGGCGCCGCACAAGTCGTCGATTTGCATTACTTGTCCAGCCAGCTGGACAGCTGACGAGAGCCTGCGGTGTGCATCACGGCAGCGGACGTCTCACTTTGGACGGCTCCGGGCAGACTGTACCTCTTCACATTGCGCGAGGCAGCCAATAGCTTCGAGCAGTCTGATCCCGCATCCCAGAAAGACAAATGATAAGCCTATGCGGTCTGTGCACCGCGACGTAGAATTTAACAGTTCACGAGATGAGGAAGCCTGCCTGCCGGTTGGGACCCCAGACTGAACAGCTGATGGCCTCCTACAGTTCGCGCCGGGGCAGTCTAGTCTGGGCATGTGACGGTCGCCTCAGCCTGCGGCATGTCGACGTCGCACCGTATGGCTGATGGTTTCGATGCAGTCTGTAAACCGTTACCTAACACCGGACTGCCGACAGCTCCTGGCAATCAATAACCCGCCTGTCAAAACAATCAATCTTGATGCTGTGTGGAGTCGCGGCGTGGCGGCAAAGCAGCCTTTAATGTGTCTTCCGTCCTGTGTCGGCAGTCTTTTGCGTTCCCACCATTATGCTGCGATATTCAGGATGGGACCGTCCGGAGAACCCCTGTAAATGTCCGGCTGGAAGGCTCCCAGGTCTCCCTAACGTTCCCAAATTGGTCCGGCCTGACCACGGTTCCAGCCTTTCCGACCGGAACGCAAGCGGAACATAACGGCGGGTCCCGGTGCTTCCCAGACGTAAGGCAAAACTGTGCCAGTACAGCGCTGTCCCACGCGTAGGCCGTCCCGGCCGGCGACGGCACGCGGTCGTCCCACGCAACCGCGCCGGTGCAGTGGCGCGGAACATCTCACTTCGCCGCCCGCCGGCCGCGAGGGGAGTGGGGTCTGACAGTGCTCGCTGTCTTCGCACCTCGCGGTCACGTCCGGAGGGCCTCCGATTGAGTGTCTGCGACCTGGCTGACCGCGGAGCTTTCCGCGCCCTGGAACCAGCCAGGTGCCTGGCGTGATGTGTGGCAGTGTGGCGCCATGCAAGCGAAAAGCCTGATCCAAGGGCCTCACGGATTTACGGTGACAAAGTCGCGTTTGATTATCGCGCAAAAGTCCTCAGAAGCTATTTCAGTGTTGCTGAAACTTCGTCTGATAATGAGGCTCCTATAATGTAGAAGTAGACAAGTGCATTTCGTTTATGCATGGCTGGAAACCGTTTAAACCGATGTGATACTTCTTAACGTGGTAAGGCGCATAATACGAACCATTTCAACAAGGTAGACACTGTCGAAATAATGCACACAACTTGTGGAGTTTATCTATCGACCTCACTGTCCATGTTGCAATGCTGTGGTATGTGAGGAATGTCCACCTTACCGTCAAGTATGCATTCCAACTCAGCAAATGTAACCGTAGTTGCAAGTGACGGGATGTCGTGACCTACTGCTGATGATTGCACTGGTCTCGTTTGGCTCTTGCGTGCAGGGGTATGATTGGATTGGACAACATGTGAAGTAAACACGACTCTGGTCAGGCCGGGCAGTCAAAGCCAGAGTAAATGATCGCTTAATGGCTGAATTAAGCCTCTGGATCCGCAGCCTCGATCGTGACCCGCTGCAGCGAGCGGGTCACGAATGTATGTACGGCGAGATAGTAGCGGCGTGATGGCGACCTTAGATTCCCAGCCCTGGGATCGTTGAGAGAAATCGTGCGGTGGACTGTAGAACTGCGCTAAAATACTTCAAATGTCTCAGGTATTCAAAAAACGAGTATATTAAATAAAGTGCCCAAGCAGAACATCCTGGTGCATGTTGATAAAGGTCGTGTCATGTTCCCACTGGGAAATCTTTAGCCTGTGTCGAACCCTTTGCGATGCCCGGGGGCTGGTTAAAAGGTGTCAACATGGCTAAAGCAACTCTCAGTTACAAAGAAGTGAAACAGGCACAGTTTGCACTGCCGTTTCCACTGTCGTTGGTGCCGCGTTTAGAGTCTGTCCCAAACGGCTTTTGGCAACCATCGAAATTTGATACTTGATTAGCCTACGCGGGTGGTGTCGCAACATTAGTGTTACAGTAAAAACTCACACCGCCAGTGGTGCTACAAAATGATTTATACGCGTCGTTACTTCTACTGCAAAAAAACCTACCGACTACCTAACTCATACGCGATATTGCTTCTGCCACAAAACTCCCATGCGACATCAGTGCTACACAACAAAACTCATACCTCAGAAACCTACGCCCGTTAGAAGCTTTGCTGCAAAAACTTAGTCACTACTTATGCATGACAT